AGGGTTGAGCGTGGGCAGGGGGTCATTACCCTTAAAGTACAGCTTCGCAGACTTCGTAGTTTTCGAGATAATAATTTACCCGCCAGAACTTCCATGGGTCCATTCGTGTGACCCGTGGGCAGGAGAAAGCTGAAATCAAATTTTCTGAGCCACGTGCAGGCAGGGGATAAGCCTACAAAATCCCAGTATTCTAGCTATCACAGTTCCCGTGATAATTTTACCGCTAAAATTTTATAGGACCGTACTTGTTACCCGCGGGTACAGGAAGGCTGAGTTTGAGTTTTTTGGGTCGCACGTGGTCATGGGGCATACCCATAAAATTTCAGCTTCCTAGCCTCCGTAGTACCCAAGATATTGATTGTACCCAAAAAACTCTTACGGGACCGTATGTGTTACTCGCCGGTACGGGAAGGCTGGATTTAAATTTGCCGCGTCACTCATTGGCAGGGAACACTATACCAAAATTTCAACTACCTAGTTTATGTGGTTCCCGAGTTGAAAGTGCGGGACAAAATATGGGGGACATACACACACACATACACATACATACATACACACACACACACACACAAACAAACAACCCCGTGACAATATGCGTTTTGTACTGCTGTTACACAGTACAAAACGCATAAAAATGATTCTTCCCGCTCGAATGTAAAAACCAATTGTATGCGATAAGAGTGAAACCCACGGAAAAAAAGCGGTTTTCTTAAGGCAGATGATTGCTGTTAAGAATTTTCACTGCTTTAGATTTTGTTGTATAAAAAATGGTCGATATCTTATTTTGTCCCTCAGCTGCGACATTTTTCACCAAAAATTTCATATGCCTGTAAATGAACAATACCTGAAAGCTGAATTTAAAGTCTTCGGACGGCACACAGACGGGGGAATATCCTCCTAAAATTCCAGGTTCGTAGCAGTTCCTGTACGCGTGACGGCTGAATTCAAATTTGCTGGATCGCAAATTTATTCCCAGCTTCCTAGCTTTTTAGCTTTTCTGGTTCCTGAATTAAAAACCTAGGGGGGAACACACTCGGACACACATACGCACGCACACATACACATGAATGACGAGTCGGGAGACAAGTTGAGGTGACAGAAGGTGGAGGGTAGGGCGCTGGAAGTGGAGAGGGGGCGGGATGAGGGGAAAGCAGGGGCAGGATTTATGGCGGCTGTAGCTCTACGAGTTTTTTATACAAGGAACGAAACTTAGTTCTGCGATGAAGCTAGCAATTTTACCAGAACTTTACTTGGACAAAAAACCCAGGATCAGTAATTTCACTGCCCAAACCCGAACCCGGAAATGAGTGCATATCGAGCAGCTAACTTCTCAGCACTAAGTCCCATGCGAGCATAATAAACCCTCAGAGAAGTTCCTCCCCAAAAACCCCGCTCTGTTTCCAATCCCTGTCTCCAATTCAGTAATCCTGTTCCCGTTCTCTCTTACAGCCGCCATGTTCTACATTATCACCAGTGGCCTCTACCACTATTCTCCAGTCACAGCAACTCGTCTCCTGTTCCATCGCAATCGTAATATCGCAAAAAAAAACTTACTGTATGATTTTGCTGGGATGCAAGTTGACATCGTTGTCGCCCTCGACGTCGTTGTTATGTTCGCGGCTTCCGCCATCGCGTAACACTGATGTTTCGGTGTTCCCCGATGCATTTTTTTCTTGGTCTGGTGATGCTAGGGTATCATTATCTTCTTCAATTTCAATTAACAAACACCTTTCACGATACCGCCTCTCACTGTCCAATTCCTTATTACACTGAAATTTCATAAATTTAGCACTGGAGACCAAATGGTCGGCACGCAGCAACATACGGGGGAAAATTAGCCCAAACAACACGACACCTTCAGGAAACTCTTACGCAACTAACTTCAGCACATCGATTCCAATCACTGCTGGTTACTAGGGCAAGAGAAGGAAACACCGATATGTAAACTATTGGTGCAGAAGCACATAGTAAATTCTGCACATTTAATGCGAAAAATAAGGAAAACAAATGCCCAGAGAACCACAATGCATCCCCATCTGTCACACTATCGCCACACACATACACACATACACACACGCACACACACACACACACTACCTTAGCTAATGACGATACGGCTTCTTTCCACTTCCGCTTGAAACGG